GGGTGTGCCCGATTTCAGGTTATTTATTGCTATTCTTACTTCCTCTAAAAGAGGTTCAGGCTCTTGTTCTTGGATTTCTTCGGCATTACCTGGCATGTTTTTTGGAATCTTTGTACATTTCTCCACAATACTCCTTCCATTTTTCTAGTATTTCTTTGCTCTTCGTCAAGGCTTTGCTATTTTTATCGTTTATTACATTTATTGAAGGTTTGCATGTTGTTATTAGTGTTCTGATCTCTTTGAACATTTCTCTGTTGCTGGAGATGCTCTATTTTGTTGCATGTCTTGATTACACATTGTTTGTTACAGACCCGGATAAAACAGGCAGAAACAGCAAAGTGAAAGTGCAGTTGTTACAGACCCGGATAAAACAGGCAGAAACAGTAAAGTGAAAGGGCAGTTGTTACAGACCCGGATAAAACAGGCAGAAACAGTAAAGTGAAAGGGCAGTTGTTATATACCCAAATAAAACAGGCAAAAACAGAGCAGTAAATATGCAGGTGTTATATACCTGGAATAAAAAGATAGAAACAGCATAGTGAAAGTGCAGTTGTTATATATCCGGATAAAACTGGCATAAATTAGCATGCAGAAATGGCAGTTGTTATATGCCTAAATTACATAGGCAGAAACAAAATAGTGAAAGTTGTTATTTACCAGAGAAAAAATAGGCACACCTGTATAGTAAACGTACAGTTGTGGTGTCCCGGGAACAGGGTTGCTAGAGTGTATGTTTGACGAGATTCGGTAAAATATAAAATAGTTAAGTCACGTTTTTCCCCTCTAATTGTAAGATTTATGTGTGTGTATGTGTGTGTGTGTATGTGTGTGTGTATGTGTGTGTGTGTGTGTGTGTGTGTGTGTGTGTATGTGTTCAGATTGAATACTTCCATTGTGCGACAGCGAATTATACAGTCTGTTTATTGCAAATATCCCAACCTATTTTTTGTTGTTGTTTGAGACTGATTTCTTTAATCATCATTGTCCCGATGTCGTTGTTTCCATTTATGGAGTGGCTGAGTTAACTTTAACATGACATTTTTCATGAGGTCACTTATCACTTTTTTTTTTAATTTTTTGACTAAACCGATGTTGAATAAGGAATCGACATCACAGCACTCAGGACGCTCCCATAAGCGCTCTGTCCCCATATTTAGCCGCAAGCGAAGAGTTCCAATTCCGTTGGTACCAGTAACGAAATGATTGCACTACTTGTGTTCCTTTATTGTTTTTCATTTGTAATATCTCTTCCTAATTCTTTACTTTATAATCTGTTAAAGTTATTGGCCTAGCTCACCAGTGTTAGGCGCCAGGTCCAGGATTACTGCTCCTATTGTCATGTGCTACTCGTCGATAAAGGCGTCTACGGGAAGGTACAGTTTTTGTCTGACTATTGCTTTACAGTACTCTCTTGTCGGTTGGACATTGCCTTCATGGTTTGTGTTCGGTGAATTCATTGAATTAATTCTGATTATGTAGTTTCGTGGCTAGTGGTTTCATTATAGCAGCTCACGAAGTTACCTATTTGCAGTTTCAGGTTTTGTATTACCATCTTGTCTCATTTCATTTTGTTGTCGCTGCTACTTGCGAAAGCTGATCTCCACCACAAAATATTGAGGGCCTGTAAAACTGACATCTATCTCCTGTTTTCAAACTGCTGATGAAAACAGAAGGTAAGGGGAGCTTCCACTAGGGGATTTGTGGAGGTCAAAAGAAATGAAAACTAGTACTAAACTTAACATTTTTTAATCTTTTGTCAAATTAGTACTTTTGTATGGAGCGGAAACACGAAAAACTAAGGCAGCTACCAATAGACTACAAACATTGATTTACTGGTGCCTGCGCAGAATAAAGGGAATTAAATGGTACGATATAATCAATAATTGAGAAGTTTTAGAGTGAACTAGACAAGTTCCAGTTTACCGAGAGTTAAAGAAAAAACCCTGGCGTTGGATAGGAGACATGTTGAGAAAATCTAAAACAACTAGAATGTCTTTGCACTGGAACTAATAGGGGTATCAAAATAAAAGAAGACCGAAAAGCACACGGGAAAGGGAGCTAGAGAGTCAAGTTAAAAAGGTCGGGAGAACATGGGAACAGCTACATACAACAGTGAAGAATAAAACCACCTGGCTTGTGTTGGTTGGAGGCCTATGCTCCACTGGGGGTTACAAAGGCAGAGGAAGAATTGCTGCCGTGTAAAAATTAAACTCTGTTCAGTAAATGCGTTTTTTTTCTGTTGAGTGAGGACTTTTACTTCCCATTAAAACTCACGTTCTTTTTCTTCTTCTACACGTCCTCTTCTACCGCTGTGGGTGTCGAGGGAGATATAAGTTCCTGCTTCGTGCTTTTGTGGCTGCTTCGATCATAGACACATCATAGTGCTGTAGAGTTTCTCTGATGTTATCTTCCCATCTCGTTCTTGGTCTACCTCTTGCTCTACGTCCCTCTCCTCTTTTGGTATGTGCCTCGTATAGTATAGCATCAGAGTGCGTTCTCACCAGGTGAGCAAACAATTTGTTTTGCTGTCTAACTCATTGTACTATTTGTAGCTCACTTTTATGAAGGAAATTCTGAGATAAAATCGGCCTTAGCTCGAGACTCTACTGTTTTATGTCAGTCTGCCTTCACAAAAACCCACTAAAACTGTAACAGACGATACGATAAACCATTGAATGTAGATGATATCTTCAACTTTCACTGACTTGCCCCGATGGCATCCAGGTGTCCCATTCCACAACAATAAAAGCCAAGTCAATGTTTTACACTTATATATGTTCTCAAAATTGTATTTCATAAGCTATTTGCAACGATATTGGTTTATATTTTGTTATGTTATGTTGCCATTTGTTTGCAAAGATATTGATTTATGTTATGTTATGTTGTCGGCGTCTGTGGCTTACGCGTTGCGAGCGCACTCTGTAATGCCGTAGTACTGGGTTCGATTACAGCTGAAGTCTTTATCGAGAGTGTATTGTGACAAAGTAATGGTACACTACTGCACGTACAATTTGCCAACAAAACCCACAGAAGCCAAACAATACTGGAGTTGGTTCTGTAACTTCCTGTGTAGGATAAAAAACTCACTTTTGAAATCTCATTTTGAATACAATTGCAGTCAACAAACACTAACATTTACAAAACACTTACTGTCAAATAAAATTAGATTCAACAAACAATCGTAGTCGGCAAACAATCAAGGTCAACAAACAGTCACAATGAACAATCACAGTCAACAATTATTCACTTTAAAAAAAATATCGGTCAGCAATAATTCACTTTCAACTCGCAATCTCAGGCAACAATCATTCACTTCCACAAACAATTGCAGTCAACAATCAATCACTTTTAACAAGCAATCTCAGTAAATATTCGCATTCAACAATCATTTACATTCATCAAGCAGTTTCAGTCATCAATATTTTATTTGCGATAAACAATCATAATTAACGATCATTCACTTTCAAGAAACAATCGTAGTCTGCAAACAATCAAGGTCAACAAACAGTCACAATGAAAAATCACAGTCAACAAATATTCACTTTAAAAAAAAAAGAATATCGGTCAGCAATCAGTCACTTTCAACAAGCAATCTCAGGCAACAATCATTCACTTCCACAAACAATTGCAGTCAACAATCAATCACTTTTAACAAGCAATCTCAGTCAATATTCGCATTCAACAATCATTTACATTCATCAAGCAATTTCAGTCAAAAATATTTTATTTATCATAAACAATAACAATCAACAGTCACGCTCTTTCAACAGACAATCACAGTCAACAATCATTTAATTTTAACAAGCAATCAGGGTCATCAATCATTCGCCTTCAACAGAATAGTTATCGATAACAACGAAAAACTTTCACTCAACAGAAATAGATGTCTATAACAACGACAAACATTCACTCAACAGGGATAGGTGTCTATAACAACGACAAACATTCACTCAACAGATAAAGGTTGTCTATAACAACGACAAACATTCACTCAAAAGCAATAGTTGTCTATAACAACGACAAACTTTCACTCAACAGGAATAGTTGTCTAAAAAAACGACAAACATTCACTCAACAGGAAAAGTTGTCTATAACAACGACAAACTTTCACTCAACAGGAATAGTTGTCTATAACAACGACAAACATTCACTCAACAGGAATAGTTGTCTATAACAACGAGAAACATTCACTCAACAGGAATAGTTGGCTATAACAACGACAAACATTCACTCAACAGACAATAGCCAACCAGATGAAACAAATTCTGAAAACAAATTATCAACGTGCAAGTTTATTCAAGTGTTTTCCGCAAGTATATTTGTATCATAGACTATACTAATTGTGTGTTGTGATGTCACACATTACATTTTTTAACGCATAGAGGTGTGTGAGTGTGTGTATCACGTTTTAGTAAACTTATAGATGTGTGAGTGTGTGTATCACGTTTTAGTAAACTTATAGATGTGTGAGTGTGTGCATCACGTTTTAGTAAACTTATCGATGTGTGAGTGTGTGCATCACGTTTTAGTAAACTTATAGATGTGTGTGAGTGTGTGCATCACGTTTTAGTAAACTTATCGATGTGTGTGAGTGTGTGCATCACGTTTTAGTAAACGTATAGATGTGTGTGAGTGTGTGCATCACGTTTTAGTAAACCTATATATGTGTGTGAGTGTGTGCATCACGTTTTAGTAAACCTATATATGTGTGTGAGTGAGTTCATCAAGTTTTAGTAAACTTATAGATGTGTGTGACTGTGTGCATCAAGTTTTAGTAAACTTATAGATGTGTGTGACTGTGTGCATCAAGTTTTACAAACTCACAGATGTGTAAGCATCAAGTTTTAGTAAACTTTTAGATGTGTGTGAGTGTGTGCATCAAGTTTTAGTAAACTTATAGATGGGTGTGAGTGTCTGCATCAAGTTATAGTAAACTTATTGATGTGTGAGCATCAAGTTTTAGTAAACGTTTAGATGTGTGTGAGTTTGCATGCAGCACCTTATACAAGGTTGCTGTTCCAGCGAACTTCAAGATCGTAAATCACCGTGTCAAACCACGTGCCACAGACAATCTTAAACCCCGTGGTAGTCAGGTCTTTGATAGAAATTTGGTACCGGACATTCTTGGTGGTCAACACGTCCAGCTTGATCACGGAGAAGTCCAGTTGTGGGATCTTGTCGTACGGAGTGGTGAAGCGAACTTCCTTGACTGATTCTCTCAGTTTCATTATTTCTCCCCATGAATCCGAATTGCGACAAACAACAGAACCCTGTTCGTAATGTGGTAGACGTACTTGGGCAATGTTTGTTTTCAAATCTTGAACTGATCTCGTCAAAGTGTCAATCTGACTTTGGTATTGAGCGCTGTTAGTTCTCACATCATTAACAGTATTTCTCAAAGCCTCAGTTTCATCTTTACATTGGGCAATCTGTTTGGCCAGGTCATCAACACTTTGCCCAGTGCTGCCAACTTGGATGTTAGACTTAAACTTGATGTTGGTTCCGTCTTTCTCTACTGCCACGATTTCACAGTTGTAACCGCCAGCTTGTAGATGACCAGGAGATGACCAGGTGGCCTGTAGGAAGCCATAACCGTCAGGAAACTCACCTGTCACTGTGGCGCCTAGTGCCCAAGACCCAGTTACGGGTGGTTGTCCGTATGTAATTCTGGCCACGTCTCTCTGGAGTGGGCCTTCAACTGGACAACAGAAAAAAAACTATTGAAATATGCGTAACATTTAATTAGTGACATAAAGATTAGCCGAGAAGCATGTCTACACACGGGAGTGAAGACAAGTTTTGTCTTAGAAAAAATTCAAAGTGGATTTTTATATAGAATATCGCTAATACTAGTGGATCCACTGAGATCCGACCAGGGAATGTTTGAGGAACTCAGTCAGCTGTTTGTGATGACTGGAATGTTTGAAAAACTCAGTCAGCTGTTTGTGATGACTGGAATGTTTGAAAAACTCAGTCAGCTGTTTGTGATGACTGGAATCTTTGAAAAACTCAGTCAGCTGTTTGTGATGACTGGAATGTTTGAGAAACTCAGTCAGCTGTTTGTGAAGCCTGAAATGTTTGAGAAACTCAGTCAACTGTTTGTGATGCCTGAAATGTTTGAGAAACTCAGTCAGCTGTTTGTGAAGCCTGAAATGTTTGAGAAACTCAGTCATCTGTTTGTGAAGCCTGAAATGTTTGAGAAACTCAGTCAGCTGTTTGTTAAGTCTGAAATGTTTGAGAAACTCAGTCAGCTGTTTGTGAAGCCTGAAATGTTTGAGAAACTCAGTCAGCTGTTTGTGAAGCCTGAAATGTTTGGGAATCTAAGTCAACTGTTTGTGATGACTGGAATGTTTGACATACTCACTCAACAGTTTGTAATGACTAGAATGTTTGAGAAACACAGTCAACTGTTTTTGATGCCTGGAATGTTTGAGAAACTCAAACAACTGTTTGAGAATTCTGGAATCAGCATAGGACTTTTGATTCTCTGCTTGGACTTTAACTGCTTGAAAGAGTCAGGTATTTCTTCAGTCGGCAAAGTGAGAGTGTGTTGTAGACGGATACCTTACTGTGTGCCTGTCAGTCAGCAATGTAAGAGTTTGTTGTAGCCAGATACCTTACTGTTTGCCTGTCAGTATTATGAGAGTTTGTTGTAGCCGGATACCTTACTGCCTGCTTGTCAGTTAGCAATGTGAGAGTTTGTTGTAGCCGGATACGAACGAACGAACGAACGAACGAACAAACTTTATTTTCAAAGGGTTACAAATTGGGCACGCAGGCCCGTCTGACATTCGGCCCTTCTAAGTACTCATTTTTCAGAGTACTAATACCTGTTATCAATAATGCATGTTATGGATTTAAAAAGAAATATATAATGCATTCACACATCGTGTGTACGCTATCATACACACACACGTATACATACATCTACATTTTCATACTGGTGAACTCATATACAGACATACGTGATACATACACATCTGCATCTACATACATATACAAGCATACACATACACAGAAATAAATGCACAAACAGAAAACACACACACATACATTTATGGATATACATGCACACACGCATTCCATATATACACATCTATACATACTGTGTGCCTGTCAGTTAGCAATGTGAGAGTTTGTTGTAGCCGGATACCTTACTGGGTGCCTGTCAGCAATGTGAGATTTTGTTGTAGCCGGACACTTTACAGTATGTCTGTCAGTCGGCAATGTGAGAGTTTGTTGTAGCCGGATACCTTACTGTATGTCTGTCAGCAATGTGAGAGTTTGTTGTAGACGGATACCATACTGTGTGCCTGTCAGTTAGCAATGTGAGAGTTTGTTGTAGCCGGATACCTTACTGTGTGCCTGTCAGTTAGCAATGTGAGGGTTTGTTGTAGACGGATACCTTACTGTGTGCCTGTCAGTTAGCAATGTGAGAGTTTGTTGTAGCCTGAATCCTTACTGTGTGCCTGTCAGTTAGCAATGTGAGAGTTTGTTGTAGCCGGATACCTTACTGTGTGCCTGTCAGTTAGCAATGTGAGAGTTTGTTGTAGCCGGATACCTTACTGTGTGCCTGTCAGTTAGCAATGTGAGAGTTTGTTGTAGCCAGATACCTTACTGTGTGCCTGTCAGTTAGCAATGTGAGAGTTTGTTGTAGCCGGATACCTTACTGTGTGCCTGTCAGTTAGCAATGTGAGAGTTTTTTGTAGCCGGATACCTTACTGGGTGCCTGTCAGCAATGTGAGAGTTTGTTGTAGCCGGATACCTTACTGTGTGAATGTTCGTATTATAGCAGTATCTATCCCTAGCAGGTATATCTCTATCATCCTTGTATTATTATCGTCATTATCAGCTTGGCCATCCTCAACCTTCCCCTACTCCTCATCATCTATCTATCTATCTATCTATCTATCTATCTATCTATCTATCTATCTATCTATCTATCTATCTATCTATCTATCTATCTATCTATCTATCTATCTATCTATCTATCTATCTATCTATCTATCTATCTATCTATCTATCTATCTATCTATCTATCTATCTATCTATCTATCTATCTATCTATCTATCTATCTATCTATCTATCTATCTATCTATCTATCTATCTATCTATCTATCTATCTATCTATCTATCTATCTATCTATCTATCTATCTATCTATCTATCTATCTATCTATCTATCTATCTATCTATCTATCTATCTATCTATCTATCTATCTATCTATCTATCTATCTATCTATCTATCTATCTATCTATCTATCTATCTATCTATCTATCTATCTATCTATCTATCTATCTATCTATCTATCTATCTATCTATCTATCTATCTATCTATCTATCTATCTATCTATCTATCTATCTATCTATCTATCTATCTATCTATCTATCTATCTATCTATCTATCTATCTATCTATCTATCTATCTATCTATCTATCTATCTATCTATCTATCTATCTATCTATCTATCTATCTATCTATCTATCTATCTATCTATCTATCTATCTATCTATCTATCTATCTATCTATCTATCTATCTATCTATCTATCTATCTATCTATCTATCTATCTATCTATCTATCTATCTATCTATCTATCTATCTATCTATCTATCTATCTATCTATCTATCTATCTATCTATCTATCTATCTATCTATCTATCTATCTATCTATCTATCTATCTATCTATCTATCTATCTATCTATCTATCTATCTATCTATCTATCTATCTATCTATCTATCTATCTATCTATCTATCTATCTATCTATCTATCTATCTATCTATCTATCTATCTATCTATCTATCTATCTATCTATCTATCTATCTATCTATCTATCTATCTATCTATCTATCTATCTATCTATCTATCTATCTATCTATCTATCTATCTATCTATCTATCTATCTATCTATCTATCTATCTATCTATCTATCTATCTATCTATCTATCTATCTATCTATCTATCTATCTATCTATCTATCTATCTATCTATCTATCTATCTATCTATCTATCTATCTATCTATCTATCTATCTATCTATCTATCTATCTATCTATCTATCTATCTATCTATCTATCTATCTATCTATCTATCTATCTATCTATCTATCTATCTATCTATCTATCTATCTATCTATCTATCTATCTATCTATCTATCTATCTATCTATCTATCTATCTATCTATCTATCTATCTATCTATCTATCTATCTATCTATCTATCTATCTATCTATCTATCTATCTATCTATCTATCTATCTATCTATCTATCTATCTATCTATCTATCTATCTATCTATCTATCTATCTATCTATCTATCTATCTATCTATCTATCTATCTATCTATCTATCTATCTATCTATCTATCTATCTATCTATCTATCTATCTATCTATCTATCTATCTATCTATCTATCTATCTATCTATCTATCTATCTATCTATCTATCTATCTATCTATCTATCTATCTATCTATCTATCTATCTATCTATCTATCTATCTATCTATCTATCTATCTATCTATCTATCTATCTATCTATCTATCTATCTATCTATCTATCTATCTATCTATCTATCTATCTATCTATCTATCTATCTATCTATCTATCTATCTATCTGTCTGTCTATCTATCTATCTATCTATCTATCTATCTATCTATCTATCTATCTATCTATCTATCTATCTATCTATCTATCTATCTATCTATCTATCTATCTATCTATCTATCTATCTATCTATCTATCTATCTAATCTATCTATCTATATAGGCTGTATGTATGTATCTCTGTGTGTGGGTGTCTGTATGTCTGTCTGCGTGAGTGTATGTGTCAGCATGTGTCTGTCTGTTTATGTCTATGTGTGTTTCTCTGTGTGTATTGTGTGTGCCCCTTTGTTGTCTGTATGTGTCTGCATGTCAGAGTATATGTCTGTGCGTGCTGAATATATGTGTCTGCGTGTGTATTTCTATGTGTTTGTATGTGTATGCATTTCTGCGTGTTTGTCTGTGTGGGTGTCAGAATGTGTTTGTCTGCCTGTTTGTATTTGTGTGTGTGTTTGACTGCGTGTGTGTCTATGTGGCTGTATGTATGTGTCTGCATGTTTGTCTGCGTGTGTGTGTGTGTAAGTGTGTGAGCACGAATGTAAATATGTGTGCTGTGTGTTTTCCTGTGTGTGTTCATATGTAAGAGTCTCTGTGTGTGTCTGTATCTTTGTGTTAGTGAGCGTGTGTGTCTTTGTGGAAATGTCTCCATGCATGACTGTATTTATGACTGTATGTTTGTATGTCTGTATGCCTCTATTATGTATGTATGTATGTATGCCTGTATGTTTGTATCTATGTATGTTTGTTTGTATGTATGTATGCCTGTGTGTATGCCTGTTTGCATGTTTGTTTGTATTTATGTACGTATATATGTATGTATGTAATGTTTGCATGCATGTATGTGTGTGTGAGTGGGTGATCGTGTGTATGTGGATGTATGTATGCACGCGCGGGTTTTTGCATGCACTTTACAAATCATGCTTTTGTGTTCTTTTTATAATATTCATAATATGCATATTATCATATGATCATAACATGCTTTATTAGTAAAAAAAAAACAACAACTGCTGTGCGAAAGATGGTTGACTGGAAGGGCAAAATGTAAGACGGGCCTGCGTGCCCAATTTGTGACCCTTTGAAAATAAAGTTCTATCTATCTATCTATCTATCTATCTATCTATCTATCTATCTATCTATCTATCTATCTATCTATCTATCTATCTATCTATCTATCTATCTATCTATCTATCTATCTGTCTGTCTGTCTGTCTGTCTGTCTGTCTGTCTGTCTGTCTGTCTGTCTGTCTGTCTGTCTGTCTGTCTGTCTGTCTGTCTGTCTGTCTGTCTGTCTGTCTGTCTGTCTGTCTGTCTATCTCTCTATCTCTCTATCTATCTTATCTATCTATCTATCTCTCTATTTATCTATCGATCGATCTATCTGTCGATCTATATAATGTCTATATAATTATGTCTTCTGTTTTCGTGTTTCAATCTCACCTTTCCTGATGATGATGGTGGACACACGGCTCACAGTTTCGGTTGTGTCCCTGTCCTTCTGGAGACCAACATTTGTTTGTTAATGTGAGCATAATATCTCACTTCATGTGCGCCTTCTATCTCACTTCACGTTTACATTTTATCTCAGTTCTTGCAGACATTCTATGTTAGTTTATGGTCACATTCTATCTCACTTCACGTGTACATTTTTATCTCAGTTCTTGCAGACATTCTATGTCAGTTTATGGTCACATTCTATGTCATTTCACGTGCACATTTTATCTTAGTTCGTGCATACATTCTATGTCAGTTTATGGGCACATTCTATCTCACTTCACGTGCATATTTCTCTCAGTTCTAGCATACATTCTATGTCAGTTTATGGGCACATTCTATCTCACATCACGTGCATATTTTATCTTAGTTCTTGCATACATTCTTTGTCAGTTTATGGTCACATTCTTTCTCACTTCACGTGCACATTTCTCTCAGTTAGTGCAGACATTCTATGTCAGTTTATGGGCACATTCTATCTCACATCACGTGCATATTTTATCTTAGTTCGTGCGTACATTCTATGTCAGTTTATGGGCACATTCTTTTTCACTTCATGTGCACATTTTATCTCATTTCTTGTTCACCTTCTTACCTCCTGTGTACATTATATCTCAGGCTATATGTAAAACCTATCTCAATTCACTCCTACATTCTATCTCAGGCAACGTGTACAGCCTATCTCAGTTTAAGTTGGAAGCTTGTATCCTCAACACACTGCATGGCGGCAAAGCTTGGTTTCAATAACCTACAGCGGCTGGTGCGGCTAATTAACTGTGACGTGCCTGGTCAACTAAGAATACTTTACATCACGTGATCAAACAAGATCCCAAACACTGAGCTGTTTGGAGCAGTAGGCGTCATTGCAGCTTTCTCCGGGCTACAGTCTTCGAGGGCTCACTTTGTTTGCATACACCAATAGAATGGGGGCTGGTCAAGTCACTGAGGACATCATATGTGAGCAGTTACAGATGTGTGCACACTCATAATATAATGGTGGCTAGTCGAGTCACTGAAGACATCATATGTGAGCAGTTACAGATGTTTGCACACAATAATAGAATGGGGCTTGTCGAGTCACTGAAGACATCACATGTGAGCAGTTACAGATGTTTGCACACAATAATAGAATGGGGCTTGTCGAGTCACTGAAGACATCATATGTGAGCAGTTACAGATGTTTGCACACTCATAATATAATGGTGGCTAGTCGAGTCACTGAGGACATCATATGTGAGCAGTTACAGATGTTTGCACACAATAATAGAATGGGGCTTGTCGAGTCACTGAAGACATCATATGTGAGCAGTTACAGATGTTTGCACACTCATAATATAATGGTGGCTAGTCGAGTCACTGAGGACATCATATGTGAGCAGTTACAGATGTTTGCACACAATAATAGAATGGGGCTTGTCGAGTCACTGAAGACATCATATGTGAGCAGTTACAGATGTTTGCACACTCATAATATAATGGTGGCTGGTCAAGTCACCGAGGACATAATATGTTAGCAGTTACAGATGAGCAGAAGATAATGATGTCGGATTCTTCTATGATGTGAAGATGTGTGCAATCGAGACATAAATGATACAAGAATTGAGATGCATTCCGCTGATGTAATTGATAGTTTTGCACATAAATTGCAAAATCAGAAAGCAAATGGGCATTAAGGAGAAAACTGCAGATATAATGACAGCTAAGTGTATGAGAATGAACACTCAATCTGTAGGCTGGATCATTTCTTAATCCGACATCATTATCATCATCATCATCATCACGTGCCCTGCCAACTGGCGTAGGCGCTTATGCGTCTCCACAGATGAAGATCTCTTGTTGCCTGGAACAGCTCTTTTGTTGATTTTCCTCCATGCCATTGTTTGAGAACATCCAGCATCATCTCTCTTGGTCTGCCTCTACCTTTTTTTCAACAGATCTTTCCAGTTGAAACGATGTTCTCCAATGTTTTTCTTCTCATTATGTGGCCGAAGAACAGTATTTCTTTCTTTATTATTGTTGTATATAGAGATCTACTTTCATTAGCTTCTTTCAAGCAATCGTTGTTAGTTCCTCTAGCCGTTCAAGGTATTCGTAACATTCGTCTCAGAAACCACATATCTTTTGTTTCCAAATTCTTCTTAATTTGTTCAGTGACATTCCAAGAATACAACTGATCCGGTTTTGTGTAACATTTTATCACTCTGACATCACATGCATGAATTATAAAGGACTTGTCTTGATCCAAGTGGGTCTTGTTAGTCACACTCGACATCACCATAGAGTCACGTGCACCCCTGCCTCACAAGTGGGTCTTGTAAGTCACACTCGCCATCACCATAGAGTCACGTGCACCCCTGCCTCACAAGTGGGTCTTGTTAGTCACACTCCACATCACCATAGAGTCACGTGCACCCCTGCCTCACAAGTGGGTCTTGTTAGTCACACTCGACATCACCATAGAGTCACGTGCACCCCTGCCTCACAAGTGGGTCTTGTAAGTTACACTCGACATCACCATAGAGTCACGCCCACCCCTGCCTCACGAGTGGGTCTTGTTAGTCACACTAGACATCACCATAGAGTCACGCCCACCCCTGCCTCACAGCCTAAAAAAAAATGGTATCATGCTGACAAAAGAAAGATGCTAGAAAAAGGACACACATACACGATTACATAACCATAGAACCAAAACAAAGAAGAACAAGAAGAAGAGGAAATAAAACCAGACACACTGTATACTCTCACCTCAAGAGCACAACGGACTGTGAAGGAGGGAGTCACTCCTGAAGAGATGGTTGTCGGATTTGCTGAGATCACGATTCTGGCCCCTAACGACATCAGATAGATTTTCACTTGCACCACGTCGAACGGATCATGTACACGTTTAGTGTATATTATAAATGTGTACATTACATGTCTGTAGGCTAAATGTACGTATATTAAATAGATGTCAATCATATGTATTTATATTACTCCTCGGTGTCTGTGGCTTCGGCGTTGCGACCAGACTGTGTAACACTAAAATACCCTATCCTAGTCAATCTGCAATGAGTTCAACAGCAGACCGCTTGGGCTGAATTCTACAATGGCATTAAGAACCGACCGTCCAGTATACAGTGGTAAATTGCTGCCAGTGCTGTGTTTAAAGATCTACAAAACTCTGTAAAAGATCTATCTGTTTGAGTATTTAATATGTAGTTATATAATATGTGTGTATGTCGTTTGTGTGTGTACAGTGTGCACGTAGACAACACGTGTCTATATATGTGTATATGATTTGTGTATCTAGTACATATTTTCACAAAGTGTGAAATAAAAAATGTGACTAGAAAGCTCAATGAAAAAAAAAAAAACGCATACAAATACAATAGAACGTTTTGAACTTTATCAGGCAGTACTAAGAACAGCACACAATGTCACGGGAAAACTCAGTGGACAAAAGCTTTCTTAAAGACTCAAGGTGATCAGTGTTTTCCCACTACACCTGTACATCCGTAATGTTGTTTGTTATTCCATCAAACCTATGTCTGCTGGTCACGTGATCGCACTGTGCAGGAGCATCCTACTTTGGTTATGAAGCAGGACGGCCTAAATATATGACAGCAGTCCACAGAAAGAGCAGACAACAAAGGTGCACCTCAGAGCTGACACTCAAGTCGTATTCCGTCAACAGTGGCAAATGTTTGGAGTTGACAACAGTCGTGTCGTCAGATGGAGAATACAGCCATGAAGACTTGGCATTGCGTCATTCATGCATCGTTTACTGCCAGACCATGTCTACCATCTTGAAGATCACAGTGACTCTAGACCTATAGGCGGGCAGACTAGCTGGCTCGGCACAACTTGGTGGAATACTTGTGCATAATAAGGCAGACGTGGTTAGTGCCCTGAAGAAGAGCGTGTACAATTCGGAGGAGCAGATGGATCACCACAGTCTGATGAGACTGATGCAGCGGGGAGTGACGAGAGGTTCTGGCAGATGCTCGAGGCTCAGAGGAAAGGCAAGACGGACGTTTAATCAGAATGCTACTGACACTATTAGTATCGTACTTTTTCGCTAGCTGCTGAAGATAGGGACGGAGCGCCTATGGGAATGCCCCGAGTGCTGTGATGTGGGTTCTTGAATCAAATCAAATCAAATCAAATCTAGAACTATAGATCAGATACTAATCCAACAGTTCCGTCTTAGTTAAGTTCATTACGGATTGCAAAATTTTGGGTTTGCTAGCATGTCAGATTCTCTAGGTGTGCTGGGACATCAGACGAGCGGCTGATACTGCCGGACCAGAAATGTTGTTGGCAGACATCAACAAAGATGGACTGACCTTGACCGATGTGCAGACGGAACTTACCTTGACATAACGGCATCGCGGAGACGGCAACGAGCAACAGACAAGAGAAAACACGGCCAATCATTGTGTCTAAGACTGCTAGCAGACTTTTTCTATTTCTGTGGACAAAAAAAATATTGCCAGTTGTATTTATCCGTGAGTGGGCATTGAGTGTTTGTCTGTGCACACGATATTATGTGTGTGTGAATGTGAACAGAGACAGATGATCTGTCAATAGACACGACAGTATGTCTGTGTGAACAGAGACAGAGGATCTGTCAATAGACACGACAGTATGTCTGTGTGAACAGAGACAGATGATCTGTCAATAGACACAACATTATGTGTGTGTGAACAGAGACAGATGATCTGTCAATAGACACGACAGTATGTGTGTGTGAACAGAGACAGATGATCTGTCAATAGACACGACAGTATGTGTGTGTGAACAGAGACAGATGATCTGTCAATAGACACGACAGTATGTGTGTGTGAACAGAGACAGAGGATCTGTCAATAGACACGACAGTATGTGTGTGTGAACAGAGACAGAGGATGTGTCAATAGGCACAATAAGACGTGTGTGTAAACAGCCGTTGTCCGTATGTAAATAGAAACAAATGCTCAGTATATTGCCATGCCATTATATGTGAGTTTAACAACTGTTGGCTTTTCAAACATTAACAGTAATAACACCCAGAAAACAGAACCTAAATGGATGAACGCACTTTTACACCAATAATGCACACCGCTATAAAATAAAATGCAATCAGTGCCAAGGGGAGCAGACAAATCAGGCGACATACAAAGTCAAATAATCAACAAATCTGAGATTCTTGATGTAAATACACAATGGTGCTGAAAACTTGCACTGACACTTTCCGGCAGTTACTGGTGCCACTGACACCGTCTGTGTGAGGCAGTTACGGGTGCCACAGTTATCACTTCAGAGGTTGAACGGGTTAACTTGCACACGCTCTGTTGGCAGCCATCCACACAGAGGTTTTAGAACATCTTCTGTTGGCAGCCATCCAGACTGAGGTTTTAGAACATCTTCTGTTAGCAGCCATCCAGACTGAGGTTTTAGAACATCTTCTGTTGGCAGCCATCCAGACTGAGGTTTTAGAACATCTTCTGTTAGCAGCCATCCAGACTGAGGTTTTAGAACATCTTCTGTTGGCAGCCATCCAGACTGAGGTTTTAGAACATCTTCTGTTGGCAGCCATCCAAATTGAGGTTTTAGAACATCTTGTGTTAGCAGCCATCCAGACTGAGGTTTTAGAACATCTTCTGTTGGCAGCCATCTAGACTGAGGTTTTAGAACATCTTCTGTTGGCAGCAATCCAGACTGAGGTTTTAGAACATCTTCTGTTGGCAGCCATCCAAACTGAGGTTTTAGAACATCTTCTGTTAGCAGCCATCCAGGCTGAGGTTTTAGAACATCTTCTGTTGGCAGCCATCCAGACTGAGGTTTTAGAACATCTTCTGTTGGCAGCCATCCACACAGAGGTTTTAGAACATCATCTGTTGGCAGCCATCCACACAGAGGTTTTAGAACATCTTCTGTTGGCAGCCATCCAAACTGAGGTTTTAGAACATCTTCTGTTGGCAGCCATCTAGACTGAGGTTTTAGAACATCTTCTGTTAGCAGCCATCCAAACTGAGGTTTTAGAACATCTTCTGTTAGCAGCCATCCAGGCTGAGGTTTTAGAACATCTTCTGTTGGCAGCCATCCAGACTGAGGTTTTAGAACATCTTCTGTTGGCAGCCATCCACACAGAGGTTTTAGAACATCATCTGTTGGCAGCCATCCACACAGAGGTTTTAGAACATCTTCTGTTGGCAGCCATCCAAACTGAGGTTTTAGAACATCTTCTGTTGGCAGCCATCCAGACTGAGGTTTTAGAACATCTTCTGTTGGCAGCCATCCACACAGAGGTTTTAGAACATCATCTGTTGGCAGCCATCCAGACTGAGGTTTTAGAACATCTTCTGTTGGCAGCCATCCAAACTGAGGTTTTAGAACATCTTCTGTTGGCAGCCATCCAGACTGAGGTTTTAGAACATCATCTGTTGGCAGCCATCCAGACTGAGGTTTTAGAACATCTTCTGTTGGCAGCCATCCAGACTGAGGTTTTAGAACATCTTCTGTTGGCAGCCATCCACACAGAGGTTTTAGAACATCTTCTGTTGGCAGCCATCCAAACTGAGGTTTTAGAACATCTTCTGTTGGCAGCCATCCAGACTGAGGTTTTAGAACATCTTCTGTTGGCAGCCATCCACACAGAGGTTTTAGAACATCTTCTGTTAGCAGCAATCCAGACTGAGGTTTTAAAACATCTTCTGTTGGCAGTCCTGAAAAAGAAATAAGGGGTGGGGGAGGGGGGGGAAGACAGCCACACACTACCTCACACTTATGTAATTTACTAGAATCAGACGTCTACGGAATCCCAGAACTCAGGACAATCTCATAAGTGCTCCCTTGCCTTCTCCAGTAGCAAACAGAAGAGTTCCAATCTCGATGGCACCGGTGTCTTCTGATTGTTTAGATGTCTCACCTTTCCCTGGAGTGTTGGGCGTCGGTCAGATGCCATGCTAACACCTGGCAGCGCCATTCTCCTCAGACCCTAGTTACATGTGTGTGCGTCCACACGGTTTACTCGCTCCAACAGAGCCCTTACACCAGAACCGGTCAGTTTATCTGCCTCCTCGTTCCCCATCACTTTAGTCGGGTGTTCGCATCCGGCACGGTTAAAAAAAAAAAAAAAAAACAGACAGCCTCGCTGAAATTTTCACTTCAATAGTTGCAGGTAAAATGCCGCGATCAGATTCAACCACTGTATATTGTCTTTATTGATATCACCAAGGCATTTGACTTGGTGGGTCGTGACGGGCTGTTTAAAATACTCAAACAGGTTGGCTGTCCACCTACCCTACCGAGCATCATTGAGTCATTCCACATTAGCATGAAAGGTACCATCAAATCTGACGGGGCGGCGTCAGATGAGTTTGAGATCAAGTGTGGAGTAAATCCAGATTTTGTACTTGCCCCTAGCCTCGCTGGAATATATTTCTCTTTCCTTCTGAAATATTCAATGGAAACAAAGAGTTTGGTTGATTCATCTATTCTCGCTGAGATGGAGGCCTCTAGAATGCTCGCAGACTGAAAGCCCAAACTAGAACCAAGAAGGAACTCATCAGATTGTTGTTGTTGTGCGGATGACGCTGCAATAGTCGCCCACTCAGGGGAGGTAATGTAGCGGCTACTGTTCTAAGGCTTGGTGTGAATTTGGTCTAACAATTAGCAAGAAATAAACGCAGATTATGGCACAAGGTGTCTGTCACAGACCTACAATCTTCATTCAGGGAACAGCTGGAAACGGTTGACAGTTTCACGAATCTGGGATCCTCAGTTAACAACAGATTGTCCCTGGATCAAGAAATTACCATGAGGATTGGGAAGGCTGCAACAACAATGAGCAGATTAAATAAGAGAGTCTGGGAGAACAGGAAGCTCACAGTTACAACAAAGACCCTCATCTACCAAGCCTGTGTCATCAACACTCTTCCTAATGGTAATGAAACTTGGTCAACTCACTCAAGAGAAGCGACTAAACAGTTTTCACATGCGATGCTTATGAAGAATACTTGGCGTTAGATGGCAAGATAGGATCACAAATATTGCGGGTTTAGAAAACAGCTGCTGTTCAACTATTTTGGTTTCACTGATCAGTTTCCGTACCCTCAGGTAGTTTGGCCACGCCTGAAGAATGGAGGATGGTAGATTTCTAAAGGACATCATCCATTGTAAATTACAGACAGGCAAGATCTCTTGGTCAACCGCTGCTTCATTACAAAGACGTATGCAAGCGGGACATGAATGAAACAGGTATTGAGGTAAAATAATAGGAACAGGATGCCACAGATCGCATTGCATGGAGAGGAAAGATCAGAAGAGAAATAGGTAAGGGGGGGGGGGGTGATTGCAGATAGATTAAGAGCTGAGCGTTTGGGAAGAAAATAAACATGCAATGGAACAAAAAGTCACGAATTCCTATGCAGGCAGTGTGGAAAATGGTTCTTGTCGCGTGCTGGCCTTGTAAGCCACATTGGCTACCACCATAGGTTGTAGTTGCAACACCTCTTTATAGCAAGTACTGTCGTCTGGAAAGATGGACAGTTGCCAACGAAAACAATACGGGTGTACGTGGTAATTAGCGTACTGATAGACTGGCTGCTGTCACCTCTTTGGGCTGTGAGCTTTTTAATAAAGCGGACACGGTGCAGGCTCACTACTAACAGATAAACAGTGAAGAGAAACAAGACAGAGAATCCAAATTTGCCGAGAGCAATCCAGCAAGTAATGAGCGGGTAACCTTGACGATTTCCCCCGTAGGAGAACTTCTAATCACTCTGCATCTATCACTATCGTTTTGGGAACTGTCTGTTGGCGTACCGAGAAAGAGACATGAGCACGTGTATCAATGTCCAATGTACAGTGATGTCACTTCTAGATTGATTCATTGATACTTTAGAGTTGATATTGTCCCTGAGGAATGAACTCTGAAATTAGGAAAGGCTCCACGACAGAGTTCCACAAGTCAGCAGAGCAGAGAGAATAGGAACAGAACACACAAAAAGTAGAGTCTATAGCTGAGACAGAACGACCTGACAGACAACAGCCTACCAAGAATACTTACAGGTGCGTCTGTGTACAGATGTCGGAGCTGTCAGCTATCAACCAGCCCCTGATATAGGCATAACTGTCAGGTGGTAACTCTTTGATGTGTTGATGTCGTCATGAAACTACTGAAGCTTAACCACACATGTGCGGGTGCTGTGAGTCAGAACTTGTAACCATAGTTTGTACACACACACATACACACACGCACACACACTCACATATTACACACACATACACACAGACACACGCAAGCCCACACACACCCACGCACGCACATACACACACACGTACATACACACACATATGCACGCACATACACACACATAAACACACACATACACACACACGCACACGCACACACACGCACACACAGACACACACACTCACGCACACACACATGC